ATATTAAACAAATCATGGATCATTTGAAATGTGAACTCAAAGTGGTATTATTTACAGCCATGCACACATAGATACTTGGGTTGTTGGGCATTGGAACATGAGGGTTTAGGATGAATTGCTATTTAGTGGAACCCACCCCAGGCAGGCACTGTCTATGGTGAGCCCCCAGCTCTGTGCTTTCGACTTGTAGTGGACATGGAAGCTGTAAGGGTTCATGCGTGATCTGGAGTCCTGTTTCTCTCACCCTCCCTCTTTCTAGCTGGAACAGAAACTAGAGTGTAAACAAGGGTTGCTAAAACAGCCTTGTTCACTGCCGTCACACTGAAAAGCTGCCCACATTGCTTAGCTGATATCCACAATTTTGTTTAAGTGGCAAATTGATTGAAACAGTCAGAGGAAGGGATTATTTCAGTGAGGGTTTTGCCTTCCTGGAACAAATCCACTTATTAGCATGCAGTTTGGATTCCCCGCCCATGGAATGGAGAATGAGCTCAGTATTACTAGGCAGTTTCTTTGACTAGCCAACAGCGCCATTTTCTTACCCCTTTCCATGCCTGTCTTCTCACCAGCAACTGAAGGGATGGCGTAGAGATTTTCAATTGTGGCTTGCTCTGAATCCAGGGTCAGGCCTTTGAGTTCAGACAAGACCGGGTCTGAGTGTTCCACTAAGAGGTGCTATAATCACAGGTGAACAGAAATTAAGCTGGGATTACTTTGCCTGGTTATTTTCTACTTGTATGTTATCAGTGGGTGTCAGTCATGGAGGATTAGCAACACCTTCTTTGAGGCTTCACACCATCAGACAAGACTAAATGCACTAAGGGGCCCCTGACTGGATGGAGCATCATAGTACAGTGATCCCCCTTATCTGCAAGGGATGCATTCCAAGCAAGTGCTGAAACCTGAAGGTCATACCAGACCTAACATAATTATATTTTTCCTCTCCATGCACACCTACAGTAAGGTTCAATGGGCAGATGAATTAATTAATTGGTATACAGAGTAAGAAATTAACAACAATATCTAATTAGGAAGCAGACATGGAGATTCACATCTGTCATCTCAGCACTTGGGAAGTAGAGGTAGGAGGATCAGGAGTTCAGAGTCATCCTCTGTCTCATAGTAAGTTCAAGGTCAGCACGGGCTATATGAGACCTTATCCCAAAACAAACAAACAAAGACTAATAATAAATATTTTTAACAATGTACCACAATAAAATTGCTGGCATGTGGGACCATTAGTGAGTAAAAATAGAGCTACTTGAACACAAGGCCTGCAGGGACATCTGATCTGAAACCTGAGATGGTAGGACTAAGGAACCAACAGGAAGGAAGATGATCCCATGTGGATACACAGGACAGTGTCCTCACTTACATTCTAGACATCAGATTGCATCCCCAACCCAGAACTTAGGAATTACTTCCTTCGCTTTTAGGTTCCTCTCCTCCTCTTTGTTTCTTTTTTGAGATAGTCTCATATCGCACAGACTTTCCTTGAATTCCCTATGTAGCTGAGGATAGCCTTGAACTGAGCCTCCGGCCTCCATCTCTTAGCGCTGAGATTATAGACAGGCTCCATCACCCTCCAGGTGTTTTTCATTCGATCTTTTCAGATCATAGTTGGCTGTAGGTAGATGAAACAGTGAAGCTTTACATAGTGTTTCTAGAAGGTTGCCACCAGAGGCAGCAGAAGTGTAACATAATATTGAAGGGTTGAGTCAGCTGAATTGGTCTGATAAGGAATCTTTTTCAGAAAACTTTAAGACACAGCATGAGCAATATGTAATTAGCATGGCCATTCCTCCAGCTTCGTCCTTTATATTCAGTCACAGAAGCTCCAGTATGTACAATCTGCTCTTTTGAAAGAAAAATGACCCCCGACTGGTTGAAGTAACAGTCACACCGTAATTGTTGGATTCTGTGCATTAGCTAGTCAGCTTTTGCTCAATAAGCTCAGCCGCTACACATGGGTGGCAGGTGTTCAGCAAAGGCCACATGGTTTCAAGTGGACTTGTTCAGTTTTTGGTAGTTGGCAAACTAGAAGGTCAGCAGCTGGAATTGCCCATGCTCACTCCAAATTCCCCTTTAGCCTGTTTCGGGGTTCTTCGCATGGTGGCCCTATGGTCCCACTGCTTTAAACGCATTTGCCTTTGTCACATTACCCCAACAATAATATAGATATTTTGTTTCAAACGTAGGAAAAATTGGTATACTCTCTTGATGGAGAACTAGCAAACTCCAGCTCTAGAGGTGTGTGTGGTAAGGAGGAGAGGGGTCTGTGGCCACCTCACCATCTCTTCACAGACTTCAGGAGTTTAGGTAATTACACTCAAATGCATATTTCCACTCCCCTGCATTAGCCTCTTGCTGCATAACAAAATACATGAGATATCTGGCTTAGAAAAGATTGATTTTGACTCATAATGTATGTTACAGTCCATGATTGATTGCCCCCCACACACACACACACTTGGAATCTGAGGTGGCCATTACATGGTGAAATGTGTTGTCATGTTAACCTCGATAGAGGGTGGGTCTAGGGTCCCGTTGACCTCTCCAGGGCTTGTCCTCAATGACTAAGAATCTCCCAACTAGGCCCTAAGTTGTTATGAGCAGTTTTTCCCACCAGCTTGGTCCCAGAGCCACGTCAGCCCCAAATAACACACAGAGATGCTGTATTAGATGTAAAACTGTTGGCCTGTTGGTAGTGTTTCTTACTGGCTAGTTCTATTTCTACTAATCTAAGTGTTTCCACATGGTGTTATCTTACTGGAGAGATCTACTCTCAAGTTCCTACATCTTGACTCTCCTCTACTACCTCTCCCAGAATCTTGCTTGTCTCCTAGTCCCACCTATCTTGCTTTCCTATTGGCCAACAGGGCTTTATTCATTAACCAGTAAGAGAAACATATTTATAGAATGACATCTCCCATCATCTCCCAAAGATTCCACCTCCTCCCAACGTTACCCCTTGAAGACAAAGCCTTAAACACATGGCAGAGGACACTCATCCCAAACTCCCTTCTACCTACAGCCTTAAGATGTGGCCTCTTCTCTGGGCTCCTATTCTATCCTGGCCTTTTAAAATGTGACCACATTACTGATGAGAGTCTCTTATCATGTAGTCTTGAATTATAATCCCTATTTTAATTTTTGATCAGTTATTTGATGTGATAGAAATACAGTATTTCTTCAAATGTAATTTTGATTCAGTACATCCTATGAATATTTGCCATATTTTTTTTTTAAGAATGTTTTACACCTTAATCATTATATAGCCCTGGTCTGGGCTCCCTGTCAGATAATGTAGAAGCTCTGTGGAAACTTTCAGGATTTTACCTGTATGATCTAACCCTCCTATTTATTGCCCCCACTCCGTCCCTCTCCCTCCCTCCTTTCTTCTGTAGTGTTTACAGTATAGTACAAACTTCTTCATTGTGTTGTTAGTCTATAAACATAATACTGTATAGTGACCCTTGTGTTCTGAAGGTAGACATAACTTGGGGCTCTAGACATTGAGTTCTTTAACACACCACTGACTTCTGACATTTGGTAATTCCTCTTTATAAGGAATAATTGTGAGCATCATTGACATTTACTAGCAGACCTATTCTCTCCCCGCCAGATGTCAGAACACTGTAAAATCCTGCTTCCCCCCACCACCCCTTGCCTCCACCTACTATATTTGTGACAACTAGAAATGTCTTGGGCATGATCATATGTTCCCTTAGGGGGGCAGAGGTGTCCCAGTTTATATTTTATAGCCACTGCTGTGTCCTGGAGATGCTGGAACAAAAAAGGGAAGGAAATGTGTGAAGTGTGGATTATTCTCCAAGAGAACAAGTCAGAAATGGCAACTCAACAGGGGTGGAAGCATCTGCCTAAGCTGGAAGTAATAGGTATCCTTTGTAGTTCCTAGAAATCCAACACAGGGCTGGCTCTGAATTCCTCTGAGTTAACTTGAAACAGCAATTGGGTCTTGCTGCACATTGAAAGGTTCATCAATATCTCAACTTCATTATGTGAGAGGTGGATTAATAGGAAATGCAGTCCCAGAAGGAAAAAAAAAAAATGCAGGAACTAAGCTAACCACAGATAATGGATTTTGAAAAGCTCTTTATTTTTAGGGGAGAAAAAGGACATACATATAAGTAGAAAGGATATACCATGACCCATCCTATACCTGTCACTCAAGGTCCTAAATGATTGAGTCAAGCAAGGTCAGTCTCGTGTCTCCCCACTCCTGGATTATTTTAAAGCACACTCCAGACATTGTTATATTTCATTTGTAAATGTTTCACTGTACTAAGAGAAAGTACCTAAAATTATTACAATAGCATGCTAGGGATATTTTCATCTAGAAAGAGAAATAATATGCTAAGTAGTATCTAAAAGTTGAAGGAATGAACCATGGGTCCCACGGATGGTGAGGCTTGGTTTGGAAAGGCATCGATTCCAGAAGGAAGATGGAGACACACTGCCCCCTAAGCTGCACTTTCCCTGCCATCCTGCTTTGAGTGGTTCTTCCAAATGCCCACAGGGAACATGGGTTTACCCGGGGAACTGGGGTCTTTATGGAGGAGAACAAGCTGGCAGGGAACCGGACCATTTTCTAAGGAGAAGAGAAAAACACAGTCACCAGGAGGCATTGAATACTCAATCCATGATGGATTGTTCTCTGATGACTTTCAATGACTTTTTAGCCAATCAGGACTACTTTTAATAAAGTGGAGCAGTAGCTTTTTAAGGCTATGCTGTGGATGTAGTATTTCCCTCCTGTTATAATGTATTCTGAGAAGTTTCTTTGTTGTGATTTAGACTTCCTCACTTGATTTTATTGTGTCATAAATCTCTGGCATTTGGTGAGCACCATGGTATATGTGAGACCTAAACAGTTTGCTAGATGCATCCATTTCCCCTTCTCTTTAGAAAATTAAACTGAGGCTGCTGTCAGCTGATGCCAGGACAGATTTAACCAATCTTGTTTCCTTTACATGCAGGTCAGTCCGAGGGACAACTCTGCACTGGATCCCATTATCCACGGGTTGAAGGGTGTCGTACATCATGGTGAGTAAGCTCCATCTTCTTCCTTCATCAAGAAAGTGAAGGGTTGGGATCTTCACCTGGAAGAATCAGGTTATCTTGCAGAGGACAGGGGGGAAATACCATTCTTTGCCCTCTGCTATGCAAGGGCTTTAGAGCCATTATCTTATGAGTAAAGAGCACCCACATTTATAACCTGCAAATGGGTCTGGGTTAACAGTGAGCCATTTGTTTCCCCTCAGGTATTACTGTGAATGCATATGTTGTAAATCAAAATGCTCTAAGATATACGGTTCTCTAGGGGTTGAATCTGCCATTTGTCTCATTTCTCTGCTGAAAATATTCCCTTTTCAAGTGTCTTATCACTTGTAAGTATTTTTGATTTGCCTCTCAGATTTAAGAGGGAAAATATAAGTAGCCAGGACAAGCTATTAAACTTCGCAGTCTGTGAACCAGCACCATGCTGCTGCTAAAATGGAAAGGGCGAGGCTGGTGTTCTCTACAGCAGACATCATATCCTCAGGCGTAGACCTGGGAGAGGAAGTAAGATGAATGGGCTCTGTCTCTTCCAGCTGGTTTTATTGGCGGAATTTCCCCCACAACTTTATTATCAGCAATGCATCATTACCTGTGCACCAGGATGCTCTCATTTCAGAAGCACCCTTGCTGCAAGAAGGTGTTGAGTCTGGATCTCCTGTAATGATTTGTAAAGTTTTAATAATCTAATTAGAATTCCAAAGACATTGACAAAAATAGTGTTAGTAACTATAATAAATCTCCCTCCATTCCCACCACTGTGATAAAATGTCTTCACACCTTTTGAGAGGATTGTCTTCTGACATGAGCCAACTCTGTAGAGCTTAACAAATACCTCTTCCGGGGAAACTAAACTTGTTATCAGAGTTTGATTAAGCTGGATTGAGCATTAATTGTTCTGTTCAGTCATGCAGCAAGAAACAAGAATAAACCAAGTGAAAACAGAAAAGTAGAGAGCTGGGCGATGGCTTAGTCAGTGCCTGTCTTACAAGCATGAGGCCCTCCACACAGATCTCCAGCATACACATAAAAAGCCAAGCTTGACAGCATACATAGTAACTCAGCTGCTGGGGTGAGTACGTGCAGAGACAAGATAACCCTGGATCTCATTGGTGGACCAGCCAACCCAGGCTAATCCATAAACTCCCAAGTTTGGTGAGAGAGCCGACCTCAGCAACCAAGGTGGAGAGGGATCAAGGGAAACACCCTTGGGTAAAGAAAAAAGAATTGTATGATGACTGACAGCATCCCATGGAGCTTTTTCACTTGAAGAAGTTTACATTGTTCCCATCATATTCTATGTTAATAAAGGTGCCCCTTCCCCTTTCTAGTACTCAAACTCAGGGTCTCACTGTTAGTAATAGTTCTACCATCGAACTGTCTTCCCCAGATCGCTACAGTTACTAATCTGTGAGGATTTTTCTTCAGGACCTGGATTGCCTTCCCCTACCTAACCCAACCTAATGCCATCTCCTTGGGCCATAATTATCCAGAGACGAGCACAAATAATTGCACATAGGAACACTCTGTCTGACTTTGTGGCACAGTGATTTCAGGTTCCACCCTGCTCTCTGACTGGAAAGAGCTGCAAACAGTGTTTGCCTACAAGAGAAGTTAGCATCTCTCATCAAGTGAAAACAAAATGTGTGCCTGACCCCAGGCAGCCCTGGCTTTGGGCATAGACAGAGACAGTCCCAGCCAGCTCTTATGGGGAGGGGAAGGAATATAGGCACTTCCCTTCTGTTCCTGAAATCTTTGCTGAAGTCCCTTTGGAAGTCCTCTGTTGGCACACTTCTCTTGCTCTCTTGCATGGAGACCACCATGGGTGTCTCCATTGTATGCCTGCTCATCTCTGTTCAGATCTTGCTTGTCAAGACTCCTCCCTGTCCACTCCCATCACTCTGTCATATCATCTAGGTTTCTTTCTCAAACACATCTGGAACAACTGTTCTATTTATTTACCCATACAATGCCTCTCTAAGTGTGAGCCTCAATAAAGGCAGAAGATGGTACACCATACCTAGCAAACAGTAGCTGCTCATAAATTCACAACTGAATGTCTAAGTCAGGTAAAGGAACACACATGCAAGTGAAAATATTAACTCATAAAAGACCACTGGGGCGGAGCTCTGATTGAGATGTGAGTATTTGAAGGGGGTGCAGAGGTGAGCATCAGAAGAGTATGCCAGTCTCCCAGAAGGGAATGCACATCTTGAAAAGTGGAAAAGAGCCTTTGTTGAAACAAGATGTATTTTGGTTGAGGGTCCTATGAGGGAATTGTGTGATCTGCTGATTTGAAGGAGCATAAGGGTTTATTCTCTTCACAGATTCTCTTCAAGGGAATGACTGTGCAGAGGGAAGTATACAAAAATCAGTGTAGATCTCTGAAGCGGCTTCTACTTCTGACTTCTAGGGGCTGTTTCTTAGAGAGTTAATGCTAATTTCCTATTAACTGACTATTGTGTTGGTAAGAAGAATCTTCTATGTTCCTTCAGCTGAGATAGAATTATCTGGTCTTGGCTACACTGCATGCTTGGCACTTGGTCACAGGCTTGCTCTGTGAATCATATAACAAGATGGAGTTTTAAGAGAAAGAGAGGTTTCTCACGATGAAAGATGGCCTGGCAAGAACAAGGAGAAATGTAGTTGAGAAGAGTATTCACTCTCTGAGCAGAGAGAAAAGCATGAAGCATCAAGAGGCTCCAGAAAGGCCAGGACATCAGAGAGCCCTGGAGCCAAGACAGCCCCTGCATGGAGCCTACATAGGATGTTTAGGGAGCTATGTGGCTCTCTGCTGTGTGTGCTCATTGGCTGGTTCGACATGGTGGGAGTACTCCATGATGACAGAGAAAATCTGGAAGGAGTGCCCCAGGGCCCCTGTCTCAGACAGTGAAGAGCTCCTGCTTTCTTTCAAAGTAGTCCACCTAATCTGCCCCCAGGGGCTGTTCTATGTGCTTATCCTATCTTCTAAAGTGTTAGGTGGATCTTATAAGTGGTGCCTTCCATCCTTTTGTAGTGATTGGCACCCCTGAGCTAGGTGTAGAGGCTGTCTGCACTCCTGGCAGGAGCCTATGGTTAGGCAGGCAGTGGCTCGGAGAGTAGCCAGTTTCACTCACACATGGGAATGCGGAGGTATTATGTATATCACCTGAAGAGTGCTGAGCAAGAGATGCTCCAGGCTAGGGGAAAGCTCCAGATTCAGCACTGTGAGCTTACATGGAAGTGTCTGATGACAAGAGGGGATGCCTTGGGGACTCTGAGCACTGTGACATTTTTCTCCATTGCTGCAGGGATAAACTCTAGAAGCTTGTAGGTCACATGAAGTGCTGTTTCTTACATATACCTTTCTGATATCAAAATATAGGGTGTATGTGAAGCCATATAGGAATGTTGGCATGTCTACATAACTGTTCAGTGGTAAGAAATGTGCATTTAGTTCCATGCTAAAAGATATTTCTCATAAACTTGGGGACATACTTTTTTTTATTGTCCCTTTAAGGACCCACCCAAACAGATGCCACCATCTTCTTGTGTGTGTTTTACACACTATCACAATTCATGGAAATGCTGTTTCCTCTTTCTCAGCACCAAAATGCCCTGCTTTTCTGCTTTTCTAATCTGTTTCTTTTTTCTTTCTTTCTTTCTTCTTTCTTTTCTCATCCTCCTTCCTCTTCCTCCTCTTTCTTCTCCTAGTTCTCTTTTTTTGGGTGGGTGGGGGCAGGGACTCTGGCTAACCTAAAACTCAATATGTAGACCAGGCTGGCCTCAAACTGACAGAGATCTTCCTGCTTCTGCCTCCCTAGTGCTGGGATTAAAGGCATGTGCCACAGTAGGAAGTTGCTTTTATTTCTGAATGGAAATCTGCTGATGCCAATTACTTGGCTATTGAGCTCTGTTTCTTCATCCTCTTCTTCAAGCTCTCCTAACCCACCCTCACTTCGTTTTTCCATCGTAATGTGAAAGTGAGTTGCTTTTTCGCCACAGAAACATGAAGGTGGTTAAAAATTATGTTTGACCTACACAACAAAACTTTGCCCTGTCCATTTTCTGGATAGCTATTGTATCTAACATCCTCTATTACTCCCTCCCTGGATCTTTCTAAGAAAGTTATCTGTGAAAAGACAAATTCTGGTCATTGAAAGCACTTCTAAGATGTCCCCCAAATGAGGCTCTGGAAAGCTTTTCTTGTCAGTGAGACAAGATGCAGACATATCTCTCAGGAGAGGTTCATCTGACCTGTCAAACAAAACAACCTGACAGACTGTTAGCAGAAATTTGATACTCACTCCACAGACTGTTGAGGGAGATGGAATACTCACATGTTCCCACTGCAGAAAGGGGGCTCATGACAGACCGCGTTAACAGTTGTGCAGTGTTCAGTTTGGTGAACCAGTGAGTGTATATGGGTTCACTAACGGGAGTGTAAGGGACACCCTAAAGCAGCTGGGAATCCAGAAAACCAATTTCATTGTGAGTGATGAGACCTGAAAGCTGCAGCCCTGATCTGGCTGTGTGTACCATGCAGGCAGCTCCGAGGCCCAAACATATCCTTCTTTCTGTGTTTGGCTTGTCTGAGTCTCCAGCCCCAGTGACTGGTACTCCCTTTCATACTGTTAATAGTTGCTCCCAAGAGTCTTCCGAGTATCCAGACTTGTAACCTATGTTTTCCCCAGGCTCTTGAGCCTCTACCTCCCTGTAAGGGGATGTTGTAGTTCGGTGGAACACACCATGCAGCGCCTGTAAATTTCCTGGCACACCGGCCTTGTGCATCTTCCTCTTTTCCCTTGCCCTGGGATAGATCTTCTACTCATTCTGTGGACAGAATCCCATGATATCCAGAGTCATTCCAAGCCCCTAACAGAAAGTGGAGTGAGCTAGTAAAATTGTGCAAGTTTTAACAGACCCCAGCCAAGTATTGCCACATGGTGGTAAGAGCAGGTGCCAGTGCATTTGCTGTTTTTTCACATTGCACCTGACTCAACTGATGT